TATTTGTCAACTAAGTCAAATAATAATTTGTAGATCAATTTGATGATCTTTTAATAATGTTAATTTTGCAGTTAACAGCACTTGAAACATTTCCATTAGAACAACTACTGATATCTTTCCAATTCGAGAATTTTTCATAATCATAGTATTTTATGTAATTTTCCGATATCGCTTTCTCTAACCATTCGACACCATCGAAAATATCCTCTGAATCAATTTCTTTTACAGATATTGTTGACATGTTAATGAAATTTATTTTATTTTATTAAATTCTGTGTGAAACTTAATTAATTTTATGCAAAAAAAAAAAACATGTGAAACAAACATTAAATCAATTTCTAATCTTTCTTATTTTTAGAATGAACACAAGATAATTTTTAATCCAATTAATCATTATTGATATTTTAAACTTTGTTATGGTAATTTTATTATAACCCACATTTTTGTACATGAAAATTTGAGTACACATGCACATTTGCGCTCAAAAATTTTGAGTAGCAATAGTGTTACAAAGTGATTTTCATATGAAATTTCACGCCTTTTTTTTATCAGCAAGCTGTGTAACTTTATTAAGAATTTTTTTTTTATAATTGTTCGTTGAGTTCTCGACTATTAATTTATCAACTTAAAACACTCCCATAATTTTAGTGGACCTTGAAAAACAGGAAATTTTCTATTAAACTTATAAAATCTTTCACAATATTTTTTTTTTTTGTATTAAAAATAAATATAACACATTTTAAGTATTTTTGAACAATTAATGTCCTTGAATAAATTTCAACTTTGTATTTACAAGTTGAAGATAAAGTTTCACATTTAAATTAAAAGTTTAGAAGGTTTTAATAAAAACATTTGAAAATTATGTATTAAAATAAATTTTGCTTAATATTTTATATTTTCTAATACTTTGAATTGATATAATAAGATATTATTTATTTTTTTACTTGGATGGTATAATAGAAAATATTTTGATTAAAACTTATTAGATTTTTTTTAAATGTAAGAAATAATAAACTTTAATAATATTGAACAAACTTTTTGAATAACTTTAGAAGGTATTCAACTAATCATGAAAGTATACTATCAACAAAAAAAAGTAAAAATCGCACGTCATATAGCATCATAATATAAAAAAACTTCAAAGTTGGAGAATACCAAATTTTTCTATTAATGAAATCAGGCTCTGATTGGTCATTGCGAAAGCTTTCTGATTGGTCTATATCGATTATGAAATCTCATGTGTCACCAGCATACATATTCCGTGTCAAGTTTCCCATTTTTCCAATTTTGATTATTGTAAAACTTTTGACCGATAACTAGCATTTTTTTAAGTAGTACTGGCAACCGAAGGTCGTCAGCCCGAATTACAGTAATTTAGACCATAAAACTTATTAACTATTGTTTAATTTTAAATGCAATAAAAAAGCTAAAAGTCAAAAATTAAATTGCAATTTATTAAAAAAATAAATTTCGAAAATTACAAATAATTCTTTTTTTTTGAATTGTATGTATGCAAGTTGGGAGTTTTCCAGCTCATTGTTATTGACTTTTGTAACACTTTCAAGCCTTGCTTGCTATTATTAATCATTCTGTTTGGGCAACTTGCTTAAAAGCTTCTCGCAAACTTCAAATATCTTGCCGTTCCATTCTGCAGCAATAGTAACAAAGTATTCTTGTAAATTTAACAATACGATATTTCAATCAAACATTTCACCATTTTCTTGATTTATAAAATCAAAGTCATTTAAACAAAAAAGTAAATAACCATGGATTAATATCAACGCTAATATGGATCTTCGGAACTTTGGGAAATGCAAAAGTCTTTTTTACTGACGCGACCGTAAATTTTCAACCTATTTTATTTTTTATAGACTATAAATTATAATCTACACTAATTTATACTGTAACCTTATACCACCTCCACCTGGGTTTGCAATAGTGGATTCACTCAGACATAAATTTAACTTCAATTAAGCTTAATAGAGTAAAATTATGGAATCATGAGGATGCAATATGACGTTAAATGGGCAATCCATTTTCTCATTAATGACAAATTCAACAATGTACAAATTATTAAAACCATAATTAAAATATTGAAAAGTGAAGTATCTTTAGCACAGGAAAATATCTTCAAAAAATGCTTATCGAGATTAAGATAGGTGAATTAGAAACCGAAGTGGGATGCAACAACTGAGCCAAGTAAAATTATAAAGAAATTTATTTGTTTATCATAAATTATAATAAATTTGCTATAATTCTATATTAAAAAGAATTTGAAATTAATATTAACATTATTTTTTATTGATAAAGAAGTGAATTGATTTTAAAAGAAGAAAAGAAGAAATACCTAAGCTTTATCTCATAAAATGAGAATTCACTCCAGCTACTATTTACTAGCTTCTATAATTTCTGAATAATTAACCATATCTAAATTTGGCTTGCTAAAATAATAAAGGGATAGATTTTCAGTGTAGTTCAATAAAATTTGCTCAGATTCATGTGAGATGGGATTATATCAAATGGAATTAGATTATATTCTAGAGGTTGGAACCGGTTAATTTTAAACGGTTCCAACCTCTAACATCACAGAGATTTTTTTTATTTAATGAATCAGAGCAAAATGATACAAATGGCTCAATAAATTATTTAACCCATGCATTTAATATTGCATTCTCATGATTTCACCTTGCATCTCTGTTAAGTAGCCAAATTAGATAAAGGTTTACGTTCCTGGAGGAGTGATTTGTTATATGTTTTCCCTTATACCACAACAATGTGTTGGACAGTTGATGTGTCTTTCTTGTTCATCTTCCAATCTGGTTCTATGTTCTGAAGGCTTTACTCTTGCCCTTTTTTTTAAAAAGTTCAATACTAGGAGCGTAAGAAAAATGTTAATGTGAAAAAAACCATTTTGAAAGACGTTATAAACGTAGTACCAAGCAGAGAAACAGACATCGATTAAAAAAGATCTGATATAGATAAATATGACAATAAATTACCAAAGGAAAGGCTGATAGGAAATCAGGGACTACTAAAAAAATGTACTCATTTCACAAGAAGGTTCTACTAGTATTATAGAAACAAAACTTTCTTATACATTAATTACTAACATAGTTAATAGAATGAATGATTTTTCATAGAATACTATCGAAATTCCTCACGCTCAAGAATTACAAATACAAGAACATGATTTGCATTCATTAACATAATTGATTGCATCGTATCATCTTGAATTTTCTTGCAGTAAAATAAAGCGGTATGAGATAATATTATTTTTTTGCGATAATTTTTTTAAGTTTGAACTCCAAACGAATTTTCATTTTCAGAAATGAATGCCATTTAAATGACAATATTGAACAATTTAAAGTAAATAATAATGAAAATTGTACGAAATTATAAAGATTACTTCATTTTAATTATTCAAATGAATCTGTATTTTTGACATACTTTATTCACGTAATACTGCATGCATATGCTGCGGCAGACCCAAAAATTATTTATTAGCCAACTCCAGAAATTTGATCATCCTTTTTCTCTTATCAAAACATAAAAATTTACCTCAAATTTATTTTTTACAGCGCATTTGTGTTTTATTAGTTTTATTAGCAAAATATATAAACACAACACACTTGCTACATAAACAACTAAAAATCTAAAATATATATATATATTTACCACCCATGGAGTTTGATGATACAGCGATGCTTGAACCGTAGGAGATTCTGCTAAGTCAAGTCGCATTAAAAGACATACAAGAAATACTGTTAGATGAAAACGCCAAAGATATGCAATTAGAGTCACCTTTAACTATTGAATTAGTCATGAAAAAATTTCGCCAGATATCTTCCGGAGCGTGGAAAAAGTATGGGCTTCAACGCAAAATGTCACTTCACGCTAATCCAGTCTGTGATATTTCAGTCTGTGAGGTAGAGCTCCCTGATAATGACCTAAAGATTCTCTGGCAGCTAGCAGGTTGACTGTGGATTCTCGACCAGTAGATATTCGTTCATGCAACATGTTAAAGTTTGGGCTGTCACTGCAAGCCACGAAAAGATTATCAATATCAAAAATCCTTGAAAGAGTTAGTAGCGTTTACACTTTTGAATACATCCGTCAGTGCGGAATCAACAAAATGAACAAAGATAATATTGTTTTGCCGAAATGCTTTAGTGAAGATGAGAGAACAAGGTTCAACTATGATGGGTTTGACCTTGAGAAGCTGCTTGAAGTCCGTAACATTGTTGTTACAAATAAGTTTATTCCATTATCAAAAGTAAGTTCTTTATTATATATTTTTTCATATTAGTCGAAGGATAAACTATAAAATAATTATTTTTATCGTAGAATTTGTTCAAATCTCTCGCCCTTGGTGATGCTAACTTCACCTTTTTAGTATCAAAGTCTGAATACGATATAATTAACAATCCTGCATCTGCGATTGTTTTTGGCCGATCGGGTTAATATATATTTATCATCCGTTATTTATTTACTAGAAGTTTTTTGGATTTTTATTCTAAATATTTAATATTCAGGAACTGGCAAAACTACATGTCTTATATTAAAACTACTCGTTTCATACCTGAAAAGCCAACGTTCAATGACGTCATCTTCGTATGCCAATAGTGAGGATTTCTACGAGAGGCAGATGTTTATTACATCACAAATCTATAATTGCTTGCGAGTAAAGGAGTACTTCAACCAGCTACAAAAATCAGCTTAATTAGTTAGAAGAAAGGTTTTAAAGATAGCATTTATTGAGAGGAAAAAGAAATTGAACAGTAATCAGGAGTATTTTTTTGACAACTTCACTCTAAAGGAGGAGGAGGGCTTTGAGGATATTCCGAACTTGTTCCATATGTTGACGGACCATCATTTCCCATTATTCATTACCTATAAAAAATTTTCAGAAATGCTTCAGGGGACCTACGGAATTGACATTCTGAAATTAACAACAAAACAAAAACTAAAGCTCGATACAGATAATGATAAGAACATGTCATTCTCTTCATTGGCTCATTATGTTGATTATGATTTATTTGTAAAAAAGTATTGGCCCCATTTTGGACATTATTATAGGATTAAGTTTGATTGCGAACTAGTATATGCAGAGTTCTCGATAATCAAGGTATGAAACTATTTAAAACCTTATACCTGTAGAAAGCTCTATTTTTAACGTTGAAGTTTGCAATAAATTAATCTGAAGGGCAAGAATATTAAGGTAGAATACTTATCAAGAGAAGA